CCCATTGCCTGAGCAGTGCAGAGGTCCTTGAAGTGGCTGGTAGCACACACAGGCAAAAGCGCCGTGCTCCCCCAGGTCTTCGAAGACCAGAATGAAAGGGGCCTCTGCCCAGAGCAGAACTGAATTGGTTTAAATACTTCTGGCCCTGTCCTCCCAAATGCTCCTCTCTCTCCAATAAGGGGCAAACACAAGCCCTCCAGCCCCATCAGGGCAGTGGCTGGAGCGCACTTGAGTCTCACAGGTTGCCACGTCCTGAGCGTGAGCTGAGGAGCTGGTTGATTCAGGAAGGTCGTACCACGTAATTAAAATAGTTCAACTTAAAATATAATCAGCAGATCCCTGGCTAGCTTCCTGAGATGCAGGCTTCCATATCAGCTTTCTGAGCGGCTTGTGCTGTGTTGCTTGCCCTCCATTCTTGAGGGAGTTTATCAGCTGGTCTGCAGGCTGCGGCTATTCTCAGGCTGTCTGCAGGCTAACCCCAGCCAGCCAGGAGACAGCATCTCCCAGCCTCAGATCAGCTGTAATTAGAAAGGACAGGACAAGGAGAAATGGAAACAAGGCTAAACTCAAAATGCACTCAAAACGCGGTGGCAGTTGTGCTGGCCGTGACAAGCTCATTCGTTCCTACACCCCAAAACACAGACATCCCTACCCTTACACTCTCGTTCAGTGCTTCCCCAGTCCTGCTGCAGAAACCACAGGCTGACAGGTGGTCCACGAAGCACTCCCTTCTCTCCTCCATGCACCTAGTCCTAAACCCACCACACATCTTCAGCTCCTGCCTGTCGTGCACCGCAGCGCCCAGCTCAGGCACGCACGATGGCAACCTTCCACCTCCTCTCCGGTCTGTCTCACCGAGCCTGCAAAGGCAAAGGCATTTGGGCGGCTCTGCCCATGCCCAATTGTGCAGGCTAATCTGCCACTGACACTTTCCTTCCTGGAGTGAGACAGGAAGAAGAATCTGGGCCTGGGGGCAGAGTCCCAATGGAGAAGCTTCCCAGATGTGGTTACATGTGGGGCCCAACCTGTTTCCTATTCATTATTATTATTATTATTAATACATTTGCCACAAAGGTTCTCTCTAAAAGCACTTATAAGGACCTCAGGAGCTGTTTTAATCTCTTGCCAAATATTGTCCATTCCCTGTCTGCCTCTCCATCCCTTGGCACCCAACTCCCACTGGCTGAACAACTCAGCTCAAAGCACCTCGCTCCCTTTGGCCCCCTCTGAAAACAAAGCCCTGCTCTCTGCTGAAGCCATGCCAGCATGGTGCAGTGCAATAGGGTTTTTTTGCCAGGTGAGTTTAACAAGATACCACTTTGTCGAGCTACCTCAGGGTACTAACTGCAACCACAGCCCCGTTAGGATTCCTCGTTGGGAAAGCCAAGTCCCAGAGTTATCTGAGAAACCCGGCTGCTGGACTTGCATGGGCCAGTGGCTCCTCTGGCTCCCTCTCCTCTGTAGACACTCAGAGACCCGTCACCTGGGCACATCCCCCAGCTGCCACTCTCTGCAGCCATTTCAAACCAGCCGCATGCAGGTGTGGCCAGTCTGAATGCAAGGCTGGGTGCTGGATGGCTCCCTTTGTCTGGGTGTTTCCCTGATTGCAGGTGCTCCGGCACAAAGAGCTTCTTTAATTTGTATCTAGGGCAGTATTCAAGGCAGGCATTTGCTCTGAGTTCACCCAGGGGATCAGAAGGCGAAAGAGAATATTCCTGCCTGAGACCTGCCCTCTACAAAGTGACCTTGCCTCTGGACAGCAGTTGGAAGAAGGGGTCAGCTAAGCTGGACATCAAAGGAGTCCTGGAGCAGAAAGGAGGCCAAAAATCTGGTGGGATGACCCCTTTGTTCCCTGGCGTGTCTCTTATCAGTCACATTCCTGAGAGACTTCAAGGATGTGTTTAGTAGCCGTGTTGGTTTGAGACAAAAAGAAATACAAAAAAAAAATAAAAAAGGCGGGGGGGGGGGACACAGATTTCCAGCTTCAGCTTCCTGTGTGCAAAAATGAAGTTGATTTCCTTCATATGGGGATTTTTCACCATCTTTAACTTTCCCTGAGCCTGATGAAGTCTAGCATGTGAGCCCGAAAGCTTGCAGAAAAAGATGATTTTTTTTTTTGCAATTTCTCAGTTGGTCTAATAAAAGGTATCATCTCTGAACCAGGTATCCAGGTTGTAGCCGTATTGGTTCTAGAGGAAAAGGCAATCAGGACCCGTAGTAGAGATGATCTCTTTTATTAGACCAACAAGATTGTCTGCAAAAAAATAAAACCTTTTGTTGCAAGCTTTCAGGCACAAATACCCTTCACCAGGCATTGGAGAAAAGATTGGACAAGTTGTCCTGGGTAGAAATGAAAGTTCATATTTCATAGGATTTCACAAAGGAGTAATCTTTTCTCCAATGCCTGACAAAGGGTGTTTGTTCCCAAAAGCTTGCAATGAACAAATTATTTTTGCAAAAAATCTTGTTGATCTAATAAAAGAGAACATCTCCACTACGAGTCCTGATTGCCTTCATCTCCGAACCAAGAGTTCTACATTTTTGCATTTCTTAAGAGACTTCAAGGCCTTTGCACAAAACTCTGGCTATCAGGTCCAGCTCTCCCAGCCACCAGCTAGGTCACCTGGGACCATCAGGTCTCCCTTCCATGCCTCACTTTCCTCCCCAATCTGCATCTCTCTGATTTATTTAGACGTAAGCTCTTTGGAGCAGGATCTCTCAGCAAGTGTGTGCCTACAGGACTTACAACAATGCGGCCTTGAGCTCTGCTGGCCTTCCAGACACTCTGCTAAGACATACAAATGCTGCAGCAACAATTATGCAGGGTTCTGCATCTTTTGAGAGTTGTTCAGTATCTCCAGGATCTGGACTCAATGTCCCTGGCCTTTAGGGAACTGTGCCACCCCCGACCCCCTCCACCAAAAGCTTGCAAAGAACATTTTTTTCCAACTATTTAGTTGATCTAATAAAAGAGATCACATTTACCCAAAGAACCTTGTTTGTCCCCCTCCCTAGCCTGTAGAGTCAGCTTGGGATATCAGCCTGGTCCCCTGCTTTCCATGCAGCCTCCAGGACGAAACCAAATCTCAGTGCAGTAGCCTTGGAGAAGCCACCTTTGTAACTGCCTGAAGGGACCCTCAGGAGACAGCCTGCCCCCGCCTAAGGGGAAGGCAAGAAAGGGAATGCCTAGGTGCCCTTCCCTCCCCAGAGATTTCCTTCTTTCCCTTGGGGTGAGTGACCCCCCAGTTCTGGTTCCTGCTTCTCTTTTGAGGGTGGGCCTGGGGTTCACACGCCGCTGGGTATAGCAGGGCCCTGAGCTTGCTTGGAGATGCTGGTGCAGCACAAATCATGATCGTCTTCCTCATCCTCAGCTGTCCTCCCCCCCGCCGGCTCTGCCCTGGATGTTTGACCCTGACAGCAGCACAGCAAGTCCCCACTGCACAGACTCGGGTTACATGCTTGCCAGACACCCCACGGGGCACAGGAGAGCCACCAGTGCTTCAGGCAACTCTTAACAGCCAAGAAAGTGTGGGAGGGTGAGGGTAGGTCCCTCAGGACAGGAGAAAAGGGAGTTCAGGGTGTATTATAATGAGCCGCCAGGCAAGGAAAGGGTCACATCTACCCGCGTTATCAGGATGACCTGATAACAACCTTCCTGAGTGCCCGGGCTGGGAGAGGAGCATGTAGGCAGCCTGGCTTACAGACCCCTGCTCCAAATACCCACCCTGAGGGGCTGAATCCTGGACTCCTCAGTCCCAAACCCCACCAAACTGGGTGCAGTAACCCACAGGCCATTCCCCAAGCCAGACAACGAACCCAGGAGTCCCGATCCCCACCCCTGCTCCAGCCACTAGATGATGCCGGGTCTCTTAATTATTCAAAGGCACTGATGACTTCCAAATAGTCCAGTCAATGGGATATCCCCAGTTTCATTTCATTCTCTGTTACAACTTTTCCCTTCACCCAGATCCTCTGTCATGCCCACACTGGCAGATATTTCCACCTGGCTCGTGAACAAGGTCCCTTTCCCCAGACAGGGCACCACATGAGCCATGAGGGATTTAAGGAAGTGTGGTCCCTGCCAGCGACCAAGAATACCGCCCAAAAGTACAGCCAAGGCCACGTCCTGGGCTTTCTGACTGAAAACACGGCTCCCTGGGATGCAAACAAGGAGACGGGACTGCAAGGAGGGGCAGAGGAGACCAGAGCCTGGTCGCAGGGTGGAGGATGCATGGTCCCTTGGCCAACCCAGGCAGCATAAAGGAAGCCACCACAAGGCCCCCTTGGACCGGTGGTCTTGTGGGGGAGGGAATATGGCTAGATCCTTCCCATGCTGGCTACTGCTAGCTCCTGGCATGACCTGTAAGGACGGATGGGAGTGAGGCACTGGTTAGCACACAAACACCAACAGACTTTCCCTATGCCTGAAGAAGGGCATTTGTGCCCGAAAGCTTGCAAAGAACAATTTCCCCAACTATTCAGTTGGTCTAATAAAAGAGATCATCTCTACCCAAAGAGCCTTGCCTGCCTAGGCACCGGTTAGGTCACCCCTGAGGCTGCCGAACCCCACATGGGGCTGAATCGACCCCAGCAAGGGGAAGATATGAGAGTAACAAAGGCATCGCTGCCTCCTCCCAGTCCCCACCTCCCTGAGCCAGGCTCAGCCCCAGTCCAGGCACAGATGCCCCTGCAGCAGCACTGTCCCCCCCCTCCCTGCACCTGTTCCCCAGGCGTATAAATCGCAGCTAAATCAGACCCCTCCACTCCCTGGCATCCGCCTGCAGCCAGGCTTTGCATGCGTGTAGGCACCTCCCCGGGGTGCAGAGCAGCGGGAGGGCAGGGACGGGGAGTTAGGAGCCAGGTGGAAGCCCAGAGGACTCGGCTGGAAAGTGCCCTCGCTTTTCCCCCACTCAGAGAAGTCGGTGGAAACTTTCTCCGGCTTCATCTCCTTTCCCCCCTTGTTCTCCCACTGCCTGCGAGAAACTCCTCGCCGTACTCACCAGGTTCCCCCGCAGCTGCAGAGATTGCCCATGTCGCTCCTTCCTCCATGCAGCAGAAGTGTTTTTCTGGATAGGGAGAGCTTGTATTTCCTGGTTCCCGGTTCGGCCCCTGGCAGTTCCCAGGGAGTGTCTCAGTGTCAGGTTTCTCTCCATCAGTGAAGTGAAGCCTTGCTAGGCCTGTGTGTGCCATCTACTGGAAGCAGCACCCCAGGTCGCAGGTGTCAGTGCAGCCCTGCTTCTC